GCACATCCCTAGTTCTAGAAAAATGGAGAAGAGCCTTGCCTTGGCATCTGGTGAAATGACTGGGCAGGGAAACTTGGCAGAAGTCCAGTTTGTTGGGAGAAAGCAGAGAGCTGGGATCAGGGCTGGCTTGGTGTTAAATGAGTGGGAAAAGAATAGCTAATTCTCACCTTCATCCTGGAAGTTAGGAATATGGCTTATCACACAGGCATAAAGGCTGCTTGTCACCAGATCTCAGACCACTTTATTATACAAGACTCTTAATCAGTAGATTTACCAGCAGGTACCACAGGCCTCCTCTAAGCCAGTCCCCTGAATCACCAGCTAGAGATGCACAGTAGAGTAACTGGAACCAGCTCTTCTTTCCTCCTTTCCAAAATGACCACCATTCATCTCTGCAGAAGTAGACAGCACACGCTGCTGTGGGCTGCTGTTGGTCTGCACAGCAGTGAAAGGGAGAGGCTCTTTCAGGAATGCAGTCCCTGGAGGTTTCCCCTTCCTTGCCCGAAGGATTCCAAAGGTCTGAGACAAACCCCACGATGTCATCCAACTGAGATGCTTTGGGCTATATTCTTCTGGGAGAGGGCAATCACTAGAGAAGGACTTTATTTTTTAAACCCTCATTCCCACTGGGGGAGGGGAGTAATACTGGCACACTTTAGGAAAAACTGTTTGGATAAGGAAAGGAAACATTCAACCTAGATGTGTATTCTCTATGTACCCCGAAGAACTGTTACTGCAAACTCCAAGGGCATGAGTTAGGATCTCTGATTCCTAACACCAACTCTGCTTCTACCATGGTTTTTCCTCCCGAGGCTTTCCACGGGTTAGATTTTTAAATGTGAACAATGGTTCAAAGGTTGAGAGACAAACTGCTCATTACTGGAAAGAGTGCCAGGAATCCTGGGAAGTCGACCTCACTCTCCACTGGAACACTGTGCCTCATGGTTACGCTTCTTTTATAGTCACTGGAAGGTTGGCTCAGCTTTTCTTTTCATTCCCATCTTCTTTCAGGAACTGCTGGGATAAAAGGGAGCCAAGGAGAATAAAAAATTCACAAACGGGACAGGAATAAAATATTTAGGGCAAAAGATCAGAAATTCTTTGCTTATCAGAACTGAACTAACTCTTCGTTGTAAAAAAAAAATACTATAGGGAAATAAATGCCAGTTAAACTCCATGTAACAGTGATATTAGCCTATAGACTCATCAGTGTCTCTAAGCAAGACAGTCATGCCTATTAAGTTGAAGACACTCAGATTAACCCAGTGATGAAAACAGAACATTTCTGCCATCATTAAAGTCAGTTCCAACATGAAATACATCCTTATTCTGAGTATTCTCTCCCACTTCTCATTCCCATTGATGAATGGGAGGAATGGAAAAGTTACTAGATGCTACAAAGAAAACCTAGTCACTTTGGAGTAGCAATCCAAAATTTCCATCATTAGCTCTTTTCCCAAATGAAGATAGTTTCTGAAAGGGAGGACAATAAAAATATTAACGCAAGCTGCATGCTGGTGGCTCTCATCTGTAAATCTAGCTACTTGGGAGGGAGGCTAAGATTTGAGAATCTCGATTTGTAACCAGCCTGGGGAGAAAAATCTGTGAGACTCTTATTTCAAATTAACTCTTAAAAAGCCAGGTGTGGCTTTTGAGTGGAAAAAGCTGAGAAACATTGCCCAAGCCCTGAGTTCAAACCCCAGTACCAGCTCCAAAGAATTGATTTAAAAAAATTAAAGCAGTGTAACTGATAAGTATTGTATTAAAAATCATTATCTCCTATTATAATCTTGGAGTGCTTGTCAAAAAGCACTTCAAATACTTGGCCTTTACATAGCAGTCAGAAAAAGAAAACAAAATCAGGGAAGGAGTGCTTAGAGGTGAAGCTCAGAAGTAGAGCACTTGCCTAGCTAGTATGGCCTAGGGTCCCAAGTTCAATTCTCAGCATGAGGAGGCAAAAAAAATTCCAGACTACAGCTATGGTCTGGAGTTTCCCAAAGTGGTAGGAAATGGTTAGATACCAAAACTCTGGCTTTGTTTCTAGTCATCCTGCATCTGATTTAGCTATGTGATAATCCCGTCTTGGCATCATCTTGTTCAGGGTCTATCAATGGGCATGACTTAAGGAGCATTCTGTGCCAAGAAATTCAGGCTAAAAATAACTCTGTGAACTATTTTTTTTCCCTTTACTCATCACAGAAAGCATTTGTATGTCAACAAGAACTTTGCTCCTTGTGAGTTTTTACTCCTGTTATTCCTTCCTGAAAATAGCGTTGTTTGATACAACCCAGGAAACTCACAGTTTGGTGTGAGACATACACAGCAACAAATCTATGTTGGTAGAACAAAGCTTTATGATGGCTAAGCATCCAGAGAAAAAAGAATAAAAGAACCCACACTCAGATAATTTAAAGATTTGTTCTTCTTCTTTCTTACAAACATGTACAATTCTTCACCAGAGAATGTACAATTCTTTCACAAGAGAATATTTGATTTATATACAGAATTTGCTTCTATAGTAGTAAAAACTATTAAGCACTTACTATGTATGAAGTATTTGGTTTGGTTTTGTTTTTTAAACAGTCTCACTATGTAGTCCAGGCTAGCTTGGTACTCTCAATCCCCTTGCCTTGGCCTCCTTGAGAGCTGAGATTACTTTACAGGGACATACCACCACGCCCATCAGTTATGAGGTATTTTTCTAAGATCATTAACTCATTAATTTTCACAACTCTATGAGGTACAATTATACCAATTTCATATTTGAAAAGAAAATTGAAGTAGAGAGAGGAAATAACTTGTCCAAGGTCCAAGGTCCAAGGTAGCAGAATCTTAGCAGAGCTAAGATTCAAAAATCCAGGCAGCCTGGCTCCAGCCAGAGTCCATATTCAAACCTTTACACTGTACAGTTCTCTAACAATTCTGTAAACCCACCCCCCCCACACACACAGTTTTTTTTTGGGGGGGGGTCTGGTTGTGGGGCCTGAACTCTGGGCCTGGGCGCTGTCCCTCAGCTCTTCAGCTCAAGGCTAGCACTCTACCACCTGAGCCACAGCGCCACTTCCGGCTTTTTTCTTTTTGCTTATGTGGTGCTGAGGAATCGAACCCAGGGCCTCATGCGTGCAAGGCAAGCACTCTCACAAAGATTTTTAAAAAGTTTTCTACACAGCTTTTTCCTTTTCAAATATGTCAGTTTGCATTTTCTAAATTAAGCAGACACATGGTCCCATGGTTCATCTTCATGGGAAATGAGGGATCAACAGGAATTTCAGTCTCATCCAAAATATACAGCTTTTTTAACACATCAAGTGTCACCACCTTTCTAATATTAAAAAGTGTAACTGCTATCTAGCAACAGGAAATTCGTTCCAACATTAAGTCCTGGGCACTTTTAGTTTAAGCAGTCAGCCTTCAGTGGATCTTTGGTGATTATAGCAGACCTAAAGTAGCTCATCTTTTAATGAAAATCAAAACAACTTAGGGAATTGCCTCGTTGAATAATATACAGTTATATGTGTATTACAGTGATGAGGCATAAAGTAAAAAATTCTGTATGCCTACTTATGTTAATAGTTCACTAACAGATTTGAAGAGATACCAAAGCAGTGGCTCACTCTCCTATGAAGGTTCATGTAATTGTAACTGTTAAGGCCAGGTACCATTCACAAGCTTTTTATTATAAAGGTCATAACCTTTACTTAAAGCTTTGTCTGTTTTGTCAACTTCTCCCACCTCTTAAAACATTCTAGTACTCATAAACTGGAACCATCTTTTAAAGTACTGGCATTTTAAAACAACTTTCTAATTGCTTTGCTCCTGAAATACAGATTACCTACTACCTTTCAAATACTGAACATCTTGATTTAGACAAAAACAGAAAACCTCCTGGAATAGCAATAATTTTAGCAAAATGATATGGCTGTCATGTGTTTTATCAGAACCAAAACACTGATGTCATCACTTAGGTGGCAAAAGCCAATCTGGAAGTGTTGCTTTATGAAAATTAACTTAGCTCTCTTCCTTATCTGGTTTGACACAGGAATTTCACTTTCACATATGAAACTACTTTCTACAGCTATACTAGTAAAGAAAAATAAAAAATTTCAATCCTGACACCTAGTGGAATGTAGGGGTGGACCTGTCCACTTGGACAAGTCTCATCAGCTTTACCTATGTTCTAGTTCTAACAGGCAGCTAAAGTCAGCATTTTTTTCCAGTTCAAATCTGTAAAATAAGCCATGATATATAAATTAACAGATTAGTTTTAGGTAGAAACATTTTTGTGGATAAGGGCTTCAGAAGTTGATGCTAATTGGTGTTAGTTATTGATGCTTATTAATGTTAGACACCATCAGATTAGGCTGGAGAAAATTGGCCTAAATTGACTATAGAAAGGGCAGTTGTAGTCGTACCCATTTCAAGAAACTGCTGGTCACTGATATTAGTATCTAATAGCAGTCTTATGGTATGGGGATGGGGGGGGGGACAGTACATGTGTCTCTCCTGATACTCAGTGAAACCAGTGAACAATGTCCTTGGTCTGTGAATGTCTGATATTAAGAACCACACCTTTAATTTTCTAGCGCAGACCTTGGCACCCCTCCCCCACTTTGCTGGAAAACCCAGGCAGGTGATTACAGACAAGGAGGCAGTGAAGTTGCTTCAAAATATTTAATACGTGTTAGACACGTAAAGTTACATTTTTATACAAAAATCGATACAAGGAAGGAGAAAATACTGTACAAAAACCTTATCAGCTCCCCCAACCTTTATACAACAAAGACTGGAGTCACCATATCTACAAACCCATAAGGTCTTTCCACATAGGGCTTGTCTGTAAACTCTGTTTCATTAAACACTTTTTTAAAAGCACTGTGTAGTTCTGAGCTAGAGCTTTTAAAAATATATCTTTTCTCTATAAACTCCGTATTTCCAAGCTTGAACTCTTGGGTGAAGTTCATCAAGCTTTCCCCACCTCCCGCTCCCCCCCCGCCCCCCCGCCGTGAGGAGATGAAGGTCCCTTAATATTCCCCTTTCCCCAGAGTAATCACAGGGTCAGAACGCTTCTTCTGTGCGAAGATGGTGGGGAGGAGAGAAGGAATGAGAGTCTCCGCTGCGGGCTGCTCCCCGCCAGTGGCAGGCAATCCGGGGAGGAGGCCCCTCCCGGCTCGGGGGGCAGCTCAACTCGCACGACAACGGTGTGTAAAGTCCCCTTCCTCCCCGAGATCAGCCGGGGAACTCCCGCGCCCCCGCCGTCAGCCGCTTCCTTCTCCGGGCGGAGGGCGGAGGAAAGTCCCTGTCAGTCCCCAAAAGTCTTAAGCCCCGGGGAAGGGGTGGTGCGTTCCAGGCGGACAACAACAACAACAACAAAAAAGTCTAAATTCAACAAGACGAACTTACAGACACACACGTACACAAAAGGTTAACGATCGATCGTCCTCTTCCTAGGATTAAGCCTCCGACTCCAGGTCTCCCGCCCGAGCCTCGAGTCTCGACACAGCAGGGCTTGCCAGGCCGGGGTCAGGGTGCTGCCCCGCAGCCACCAGTCTCCCCCGACGCGCTCGGCGCCTGCCGTCTCGGGGCGTCCTCGTCGCCGGGAGAGGCCCGGCCCTCACTTCGGGGACGCCCCGCTGCTCAACCTCCACCCCGCCGCCCGGGACCTGGGGCTCAGAAGGCCACGATGGCTGTGCTCCAGGGGTTCATGTCTCTCAGCACCGGCTTATCGCAGCAGATCTGCCCCGGCTCGGCGGTTTCCGGACCGCCCTCCCCGGCCTCTTCCTCCTCCCGGCCGCCCCCGGGGCTTTTCCGTAAGAGTCCCGAGAAACTGGAACCGAAGATGCTGATGAGGTTAGCCACGTTGCCCGTCTCCATCTCCTCCTCGCCGCCGTCCTCTTCGCCGCCGGGCTGCTCCTCCGAGTGCCGGCGCGGCTTCTTCTGCGGGGTGGCGCCGGGCGCCG